ATGGGTTAGTCGGGGACTTGTCAGTGTGGGGACTCTAGGGTTGTAGGCCGTACCTAGGGAACTACCATGGAACAGAAGATTTCTTCCATACTGACCGCACTCTGCCCTGAAACTTTCCTTCATGCTGTACCTTCTCTTGAAATGTAAACATTAAAAGTTTCTAAGTCACCTCTAGTACTAATTCCACACCATGAGATAAACCCATAAACCTCAAACTTTTCAAACCCCAAACTTTCCCACTCGTAGTTTATCTGATGCGCTGCTCAGCCACCCCAGACTCACAGCTCATCCCGGCTGTGATGGTGATTTATCCACACGACACCCTGAACGTGGGGGTGAGGAAAGCAGAGGAGTGGGGAGACGAGGGCTGTAAAAACCTGGAAACATTTCCTTGTGGGAGGCTGCTGGTTTGCTCCTGCCTGTGGGAGGGACGCTTGGAGAGCAGGTTGAGGCTCCTGCCCTGGAGCCTCCTGGGCAAAGTCCTCCCGGGCCCCGGGCAGGAGCTGGAGGTGTTGGCACCTGCAGCCGCAGGCTGAGGAGCAGGAGGAGTTTGATCCCGTGGTGACAACCCTGGGTTGCTGCCTCCTCCCAGGTGCCAGGTGACCCCATCATGGCCACCCAGATGTTTGAGGGGAGAGGGCACGCGGCCGTCTACCAGAAGTACAGGTTTGCGCCAGGCAAAGAGCTGCAGCAAATCATCCTGGGCTACGTGCAGGAGAAGGTGAGTGGGGCAGGACGGGTGGGGTGTGGGCACGGGTGTGTGTCCTGCTGTCAGCCTGGCCTTGCCTGGCACCCTGGGGAAGAATAAATCAGTGGGGCTCCAGGCAGGAGGTGGGCACACAAGAGCCTTTCCATGGGTCGTGCTGAGGATGTTCCTGTGTGGACACTGGGGGAAGGAATGGGGTAAAATCACAGCAGTTGGGTCACCACTGGCTGAGACGCATCTGCTCATCCCCACAGAGGTGTTAAAGGGATTTAGCTCAGTGGGTGGGTAACTCTGGGTTTGCTTTATTTACAACTCAGTTGGGTCATCACCTCAGTGAGTGGCAGAGGCATTGCAAAAATCAAGCTCTCTATATATGCTAAATTTAACATTATGCAATAGATATTATTTTCAAAGTTCTTGGTGTTTTCCCACAAACCCTCAGTTTTAAATTTATCATTAATTTAAAATTCTATAAAAGTCCACAGCGATCTTCAAACACAGCTGATTCTTCTCATCTCAAGTACCTCTTCAGAAGTTGCAGGACCACTGGTCCCATTCTGGTCACTGTATTCACTTTTCTTGAATAATCTTCCTCTCTGCTGCCCTTTGCACTTCTAAGAAAAACTCACATAGTGACATTTAACTTCTGTCTAGTTTAAAATATGTCAACTTTCACAATTTGCTTACTCCAAGTTAATCACTTATCCTCTATAATTGCTGTGTCTCTAAATTCTGATGATTCAGCTGGATTTGGCTTAAACCAACCATGGAGAGGGTTATACAGAGGACAAGGCAAGAAGCAGCATGGCTGCGTGGTTTATAGGAATTATTATTATTCTATTATTTCATAGCACCTGTTTCTAATTCTTCATCTTAACTATAATACTTCTATTAATCAATATCATTTTACCTATAAACATTTCCTTAGAGAGTCTGTCCCTTTTACAGAGGGCAAAACCTGTGGAGCTGGTGGTGGATGTTGGCTGTGGGTCTGGACAAGGCACCCTTTTCCTCGCGGAGCACTTCAAGAAGGTGGTGGGAACGGACATCAGCGAAGCGCAGATCCAGGAGGCCAAAGACTCCTCCTCCCCACCCAACGTCTCCTACCTGTGAGTGTCGGGGCAGCAAGCTCGGCTGAAGGCAAAATGCGGGTCCTGGGGTGGAGGTGGTGGTTCCTGAGCGTGATTGCTGTAAGCACCAGCGGGCACCAAAGTACGTTCCATTTGATGGGGCTCCTGCTGTGAACGGGCATTGTCTGAGACTTAGAGTAGCCATGGTCTTGTGTCCCAAATGGTCATTGTTGACTCCCAAATACGCCCGCTGACTACATGGGACTTCATGGGACTTCATGTCCTACTCCCTAGTTGCCATATGACACATATGACCACTTTTCCTTCTCCCGCTCCAGTGTGTGCCCTGCAGAGGTGCTGCCATTCGAGGATGCCTCGGTGGACGTCCTGACTTCATTCACGGCCGCGCACTGGTTTGACATTGAGAAGTTCATGAAAGAAGCAAACCGGGTGCTTAAGCCGGGGGGTTGCATAGTCCTGTGCACCTACACCTTGGACATGAGCCCACACTATGGCAACTGCTCCGAGAAGCTGACCAAAATCTTCAAGGAGGTGAGGTGATGAAACCTAAACCTCGGGGCTTCCCCTCCTGGCCTGGGCAGGGGACAATGTGTCGTCCTTGGGTGCAGAGAGGAAAGCAGTGGGCCTGGGGGTACAACTAGAGGACTCCTGTTGGGGGGTGGGAGCGAGATTTTGGTGAATTTTAATGCAAGGTGTCCTATGGGGAAAAACAAAAGATCATGTATAAATGTGTCAGTGCCTGAGTTCAGTGGACACCGAGAGCTTTGAGTGCTTTTGTGTTTGACTTTTGATCTGCTGCCTTTACAGTCCTGGGACAAGCTTACAAAATACTCACACAGTAAAGTCAAGCATGTCTTGGAAGACTACAAGGAGATCTTTGAGGCCTTGCCGTTTCCAGACAAAAAGAGGTGAGCAGAACCTCGTTGGCGCAGCACCAGGAGTGGACAGAGGTGGCTGCTCTGCCACCAGCCCAGCGAGGACACGAGGGAGCCGGGTTAGTGGGAGCAGGGGGGTGCCAGGTTGGTGGTTTATGATAAA